GATTCCGTGTTATATATTTGTTAAGAAGAGTAAATATATCCTCCACTCACATCCATAGATCAATACAAAGCTATTCTGATTCCATATTTGTAAGAGACCCATAAGAGTCTTCACAGGAAACAACATTTTTTTCTCTGTTTCTGCAACGATGTGGGCAGCAACTAGTCCTGCGAAAGTTGTTCCATCTCTAACAAACTGTTCAAAAGCGGCTATTGCCATACCCAACCTGCTCCTTCACAGAAGGTTGTGTGTAGTTGTACCTTTCCTTTGCATTGTCTATGATTCACACATAGCTATCATGGCTGTCTGATTGTCCGAGAAGATCCAACTTTTTAATTAATGAAGTTTTAAGTGAAGTTTTTTTTAACATAGGAAATCAGAAAATCTTGCAAGCCTTCAAAAGTTTATCTCTTTGAGATATAGTACACCCTTCAAATCATTTTGCATTCTCAGGTAAAATTTTCTATGACCATATTAAGTTAACAGTTTTTTGCCTGCTTGTTTTTAGAATAAAGTGGAAAAAAACCTTGAAATTAATATCGGAACGAGATATATACGTATGTAATTTGTGTACATACATTAAAATTTCATGAACCTTTTTTTTGGAAAGCCTGAATAGAGAGGTGAAATATTTTCAGACAAAATCTTTATACAATCAATGTAAAAGTCCACAGAAAATAAAAAAGGAAATGTGCCTCCTTGAAATATGCAACCACTTTTGTATGCTTTTGTTCATAAATATAACTTTAGCTCTTTTCGAGGTTGATGGTTCGGGGCTCGGGTCGTCAGTATAACAATCATTGCTATCATCAGAATCTGAGTCACACATCATGCCGAAATCGCACACGACCTTCAAAAGTGACACATGTCAAAATTTGGCATTATTAAAATTAGTCGACTTCAATTCTCATATAAAAATTTAAGCGTATCATGATGGTTTTGGCGACCTTTTTATTTCTTAACTTGTTAGTTGTGCCGCACAGTGCCGCGACTCCATACAAATGATGGACAAAAATAGAAGGAGTGGTCAGAATTGGCTGAAACTTCACACCTAGAAGTATTATGCCCCTCTAATTTCAAAAATGAAATCGGTTTTTCTGTACCGGTTACTCATTTCGAGAAAACCGAGTTTTTCTTGCATTTTTATATGAAAATAGTCATTGTGGACATGTGTTGATGTAAGTGGAAGGAGGCATCAGAATGGGCTGAAACTTTACACCTGAAAGGACTATATCACGGCAATTTAAGAAAAAAAAAAACGTTTTTCAGCATCTGTTACCATTTAATTAAAAAATTTTTTTTTTTACAATTTTATAAAAAGGTAAAATAACTCATAATCATTGTAGACATATGTTTATAAAAACCGAAATAGTATTCAGAACTTGTTGAAACTTTACACCTAAAAGGACTAACCCATGCTTATTTCAAAAATGAAATCGATTTTTCAGTACCGCGTACCCATTAAAAAAAAAAGATTTTTTTTTACATTACTATATGAAAGACAAATAAGGCATAATCATTGCTGATTGTGGTGTTTACGAAAACAGGAAGGAGTCGTCAGAATTTATTGAAACTTTACATCTGAAGTGTCTATATTACTCTAATTTTAAGAAAGTAATCGTTTTTTTTGTAACGGGTACCCATTAAAAAAACACCGAGTTTTTGCACATGATTATTTAAAAATGAAATATGGCATATCATTGTTGCTAAGTGTTCAGAAAAATAGTCTTAATAGTCAAAATTCGTCTAAACTTTACTTCCTAAATGAATACATTATGGTAATTTGAAAAATTAAGTCGGTTTTCCTTACATGTTAACCTTTAGAAAAAAAAATTCTTTTGATTTCATTTAAAATAAAGCATAATCACTGTTAAGTAAGTAAGTAATAATAGCTGTTATATGGTAATAACATATAATATGTTAATAAAAACCGAACTAGTTGTTATAATCACTCAGTTTCAGAGTCCTCAGAAGAGGAGGAAGTGATCACTGATTCAAATGATTCCATGCTTTTGTCTGCTTCGTCACTTTCAACAATGTATTTATTAAAGCTGAGATCAGAACCCTTTAAATATTTGTTTCTCTGTTTTATATTTCTTTTAAATGCAACTAATGGATCTGACGATAATATCAAACGAGTCATTAAATCCGTATTGCTTTGTAGTCTTCCAGTTTTTCGAGAACGATTAAGCCGATATTTTCTTATGTTTTTGTGTGAACATTTTCTGATAATGAACCTGATAAAATAGGTGGAAATACAGAATAAGAAAATAAATGAAAACATAGCTTTAAAATCATTACCTATTGGTAAATCAAAGTATTTAATAACATCACGTCCACGTACTAAAACTTTATGCACTGAACTTGGCATGTTATACCAACCATAATTTCTAAGGTATAACTCTCTTGTTTCGTTCAACAAAACACTAAACTCTTGGGTTTTTATTTGTTTTCCACAAGAGAGGACTCTTAGCACCAGAGAAAAATTCATGAAATTTTAAACTCGCGTTGAGCTACATTTTCCACTAATAGTAAAACGTTGAAATTTTTGCACACGTAATGTAATTAGTTAGGTGAACAAAATTATAAAAAGACTCAATCAAAAAAAAAAATATATAAAAAAATTGGACCTCCATGATGTGCATACATTTGTACTATCATTTTCGCAAGCTGTTTGCTGCTTAAGCAAAATAGTACTCTTTATGCAGATGAAGAGTAATAGGTATGTTATTTATTTTTATTTGCTTTTGGTTCGCCTTTCGTCTAATCATTGGTTAACATATTATTTGTAAACTGGTGTCATTGCTCTATATATATATATATATATATGTATATATATATATGTAAATCTTCGTATACCTTTGTTTTTGGCTCCCATACCGTGATGCATATTTAAGTATTTTAATTAGCTGATAATTTTTTTCATTTCAAAGCACCCTGTACCTCTTAATTTTTTTTTTTTGGCACTTTTAGCTTTAATTCAATACCTTATTTTTGAAAAGCGAACCAAAATTTTAGATCTTAGGGCATTCAGAAAAAGTATTGTAAATATAGATCAGCTAAAATAATACCAAAAAAAAAGGCATTTAGTCACTTTTTCAAAATTGAAAATTTTCAAATATTGGAAAAAGTTGGAAGAGATTTCGATTGTTTCTGTTAGTAGAAGGTCCAAACTACCATAACCAAAAAAAAAATTTCACGAACTTTCAAGATGTTTTTTTTTTTTTGTCTCCAAAGTTTACCAATTTTCGGATTTTGGTATGTTTAATCATATACTTATTTATTAATAAAAAAAAAATATTTGTATAAATTTTTTTCCATGAACCATGCATTTCTTGGTTTGTCGCATATATCTTTATCAAAGTGCAAAAGTTGATCTTGCTAGGAATAAAAATGTATTTTTAACAAATTTTTAACTGCGACCACTTTTATGTGCGAATCGCCGAAATGAAATGGTATGTAGAAAATAGGTGTACTTTGAGGGGGTGTGTGAGGCTGAAAGTTGTTTTTATCACAAAATAACTTATGAACTTCTCTTAGTTGGAGATTTAGCTGTAACTTGACATCAAGACATCTAAGTTTCAAGACAGTCGATTTTTGTATTTTTGTCCACCTTCGCGGCACTGTGTGCCGGCTCGAGTTCAAATGTTTTTACACAATTTTAATTAAAACTCAGGATTAAAATTGTCCAAAAACATTTGACCTCGAGCCGGGTACCACCTTTCCTAAAAAAAAAGGAATTATAGAAATCGGTTAAAGTGGTCCAAAGTTATGCGGTAACATACATAAAAAAATTTTCCGACGAATTGATAACCTTCTCCTGGTTTTGAAGTCGGTTAAAAAATCCAGTTTATTCGATTTTCAAAAAACGAACACTAACGAAAAACCGCCTATAGATATGCAAAAGTTCGATGGAAACCGACTTGGAAAAACCGAATCAATCATCCTAATATATGTGCATAGCTTCAGTACATAAAATAAGTTTGAATTTCTTAATTTTTTTTGCGTTTTTGGTAACAAATAAAAATCATTATGGCAACACTGTGTACGAGCATCCATTCAGCGAAGCACCTTCGCTTACCTCGTATGCCTTATCACAGCAGCAGCGCATTTCCATAACTCATACATACATACATACATACATACATACATATGTACATAAGTATATATGCACGCGTGCACGCTTATCGACACTATTGGCGCACTTCGCCATCAAGTAGCTCCATTGGCGTTGGCGTTGGTGTTGACGTCGACGTCGGCTTCACCTTTGGCGCTTTCGTTTGCTCCAACAGCTCGAATGCTGCTACCGGCAATTAAAGCATTCCAGTGGCACACGCTCATACAGTACGCCACGAGCCGCGCTAACGATTGGATGCAGAAAATTTCGAGTACGCACAGCACAGCTGTCAAGTGTGAAGTCGAGTATTTTATCGAATCTGTGCAAACGTTGAGTTTTAAATTAAGATTTAATTGAAATAATTTATTTGTAAACTAGAACGATTTGTTGACAATTCAGCTGTAATATATGTATGTAGTGCAGACGAAGGGGACTCACTATAATTGTAGGCACTGGGCATTAAACCAATTAAATCAAATAATTTAACTGAAAAAATTGTAGAATTACTAAAACGTTTTTTTTTTTTTTGTTTAATTGCTACTATAGTTCGATTCAAACGCGCCGAAAAGTAATTCGAAACCCGTTTCCTTTTGCTCCAATGCTGCTGCTCGCTTGCAGCAGCTTCCAAGTGCAGTGCTACATTAATAAATGCAAAAATACGCAGCTAATAAATTATTTTAAGCCACTCGGCGTCTAAGTGGATTTGAATGTAATTTATGCAACAATAAACACATATAAATAGCAAAAAATTGTTTGTGAATTAACTAAACTTTGCCGGTAGCATAGGTGCTTCAAGGCATTTTGTAAAGTGTTTTTGATTGAAACGTGTTGTTGTTCTTGTGGTGTAAGCAAAAAAAAAATGCGATTTATTATTATTTTTTTCATTTAATTTCATTGCGAACTATTAAACTTACAAAAATATTATTAAGTGTACATATGTCTGGCTAAGACCATATGTAGTTACATACCTACATCTGCTTTGGCAACACCTTTATTTCGTTGTACAAAAAAATAAATAAAAACGTAGTTAATAGTGGAAATAACTGATATGGAGAATACCAGTGTTTTTTCATTGATCTCGCTCGAAGCTGAGGAGTCGACGAGTGATTTCGCTTGGAATGTCAGCTCAACTGCATCGCCAAGTGTTATTGCCCAGCCGCTCGCGCTCTATCACAACCGCCGCCGTTTCTTATTCAGCGGTATTGTACTACTGCTCGGCGTTATTGGCAATTCTTTGGCGTTGTTGATTTTGGCGCGCAAAAAGGCTACTAAAAATAGCAAATATACGTTAATGTTGCGGTAAGTAGTATAAGCATTTAGAAATCTAAGTAATGCCACAAGTGAGAGGGTAGCGAAGCGAATGCTTGCTTTAGAAAATATTTGTTAATACAAACATATACACATACATACAAACACATTTATAAACGCTGGACCGAAGCATTAGCGGCTGCACCACTTAATTGGTGCACTGGCCGATTGGTGTTCAAATGAGGTTCAAGGCGACATGGTGGACACTTTATTGGTGTGTCAGCGCACTGCTACTTCGCTCACAAATTGAGCCACGCTCGATAAATTGCCTCAATAGATTCAGTTTTGGTAGTACATTGTTTATTAGACCCATCTGGCTAGCCATACCCAGTCAACCAGCTTGCATTTTACAAAGTTATCAAGGATTTGCCGGACCGTTGCCAGTTCGAAATGTTGACATATTTTGGACTAGATACATATACATAAGATTCGGACTCAAAAGCATTTTCTAAAGCATCTTGGTACGATTTAAAATTATTAAACCCGTTTTCGCAAGTAAATTTTAAAATTGATCTGCCCTTCGAATACATCTTTTCAGAACAAAATTCGTTTTAAAAGGGCAAATAAATTTTAAAATACAGTTGATAAGAGGGCCCTTAGACTTTCAATTTGACTTCACAGACGAACATATCTACAAAAAAAAAAAACTACTAAAAATTCAATATAAAAAACTATTAAAATTCGAGGTCGCTAATTACGTATCTGATATCAGTTTTCCTAATTAACAATAACGAATCCAAGCAGAGATCCAAAATAATTATCATCCTAATATTTGGGATCAAAAACGTTGCCTTGTTTTGAGAGACATTTTTTCGTCTTTTTAACCGACGTCCAACAAAGGAGGAGGTTATCAGTTCGTCGAAATATTTTTTTTTTTTTTATGTATGTTACCGCATAACTTTGGACCACCGATTTCGATAATTCTTTTTGCATCGGAAAGGTAGTGTCTCAGAGGTGGTCACATACTAATCTGGTTCAGATCCGATCAGCGGATCATGAGATATATATATATATATAGTTTTTTTTTTATGAGAGTTGAAGTCGGTTTTTTTTTGCTAAAAATTACTTGTTTAATAATTATTTACGAGAAATATCTTTTTTCGTCTCTCGATACGATTATTTTCAGAAGGAAATTATTTACGTCTTCTTATAATAATTATATAGGATTTTTATCTCGTTCCACGTTTTCTCTTAATAGTATTGGCCGATTTCACGAAATTAAGCGCAAATATCTCAATCTCATCTCGGGAGATGAAAAAAATAAAAGTCCCATATAATTATTATGTGAAAACAAAAAATATTGTCCACCGTAAAATAATCGTCCCGCGAGAAAAAAAATTGAAATTAAAAATTAAAATTAAAGTCTTAGAATATTATTAGGAGAAGATGAAAAAGTTTTTAGTCTAACGATTTTCGTCTCAGCTGACGAAAACCACTTTCCCATTGTTCAGTAATAGTTATACAGCAATATTTAATTTTATTTCTTATATGTAATCGTTATGATCTTTGAATCCAAGACAACGTATCAGCTATTCACAAATTTATCAGACTCAATTTTCAATTCAAAATGTAGGATTTTATTAGATATGGGCCATTCCATGTAAAAGATGAAAACGAAATAAATTTTAAAATGCCCAAACTGCCTCTATTGCAGTAGTAACCTCTTTTTGAATAACTAAATTTCATTAATTTGTTGAAAAATATAAAAAAGAAGGAAGTTGTAATTTTTATCTACGGAAACTTTTGCTTCATGCATAATTATTGTACACAAATCACAAGGACATGGTGGGAGACAAATTTAAATATTTTTTTTTATATTTCTATGAAGATTATATTAACGTAATTTTTATTTAAAACGAAAGCGTATAGTTCATATTTTACAACAAAAAACCTCTTTCGTGAAAATTTACAAAATTTAGAAATTTAGGAATTCATCTTTGAGTGCACAAAGATAAAATATGCTATTTTCAGTGTCCCACCAGTCACATTCATTCAAATTCTAGTTACATAAAATCAAGAAATCGTTTGGTATTTTTGTTAAAGCAATTTTATACATTAGTTATAGTTCTATGTTAAAAAATATCTTTCGCTCTTATATAAGTTCCGACGAAATAGTTATAATTCACAATTGATCGCATTCTGGAGTGAAATTTCCTAACTGTCACAATTGAATAGAAAATATACATAAGAAAAAATCAAGCCCTAATCGCCCAAAAAGTACGCAAAGTTTTTTCTAAAATTTTCTTATTTGAAGCGAAAAAATAAGTTTTGAAAAAAACAAACTTCGATTTTTTTTTAATCGTGAGCACATGTCTTAAATTTTTAATATACGTTCTCTCAGCTGCTATAATACAAAATCTAAACCGTAATAACTTCTTAATTTTCCCTGTCTCATGCATGTGTTAATCTCAATGTGTATACATTTTTATTCTCCGACTAATTAAAGCTTGTCACCAGTGATCCTGAGCAAATTTATAACACCAAATGTTGCCGTCTGACTATCTGCTATGAAAAAGTTCAGAAAGTCAAAATATTATTTAATATTAGGAATTATATTTATAAGAGCTCTTATCGCAGTCATTTCCGATGTCTTAGCAGCATACATGAATAGGTAGGTATATAATGATTTATTACACAATATGTGTTGTTAGAATATTCTGCAGATTTGATGAGACCGCTATGTATGTTGCTAATAAATATCTACATAAAAATAGTACTATTTTGGCGCTAATACTTTTGCTAAGTATTTGACCGGCCGTCTCCACCAAACTGTGGTGTGCGTCTTAATATTGTTACGCACATAGAGTGACCTGCAGTTTTACGCCGCCTCCGAACGACAAATGGATTTTATGAGAAGCTTTTTCAAGTTCAGAAAAAATTTTGTAATTTAGATGTTGCTCGGACCAGCGGGTGTACCCAAAAAAAGTTTGAAAATAGTTGAAGGCTTAAAGTAATATCGAAGCTTATTCATTATTAAATTCACTGGCACAACGGCATTTTTCCAAATAAAATAACCGTGGAATATTTAAAAAAAAGCGGACATCATACTTGCCATTTTCGTTCCGACGACACTCGGTTCTACACAACCGAGCGACCCAGATACATATCCTCACCAAGGATGGCCACTTCGTAATAAGCAGCCCCAAGAATCCCAGAGAAAAATGTTTCAAGCGCACCGAGGCAATTTTAATTTTTTGGATTTGCCATTATGAATTTTTAAAATTATGCTCTGGGTTCGTAATCAGCAACATCAAAAGTTAGGTTATCCGATGGCACAAAAGTTGAAAAGCAAAATCTAATTTACGGTTAGTTTAGACGCCATATTTAAGACAACATGTTGAACTTTTCAAAAGGTCACACTGTTTTCAATGGGAGGCGGATATGTTATGATTTTAAGACATTAATCTTTGTACTCTGTCCTATAGAATTTCGACCATCGTACTGTGCCGGTTGACGTGATGTGGAAATGGATTTTACGCCACTTTCCTTACATCGCTATGTTTGGTACGTTCCTGGTCCTGATTTAACCCGCATCCATCGTTTCTATCAAATTGATGCGAATTTCGAAAACATGTTAAAATATTAAAAAAAAATAATCAAAGTACTAATGCAGAAAATCGATGGATAAATAAGAAGTAATGAGTGGTCAAATGAAAATGCGCAGATTGTTTGTATGAAAAATGAGCAATAAAGAAAGTTACTCATACGCCATGCACACCTGAGTAACACGCTTTTATACTCATATTTTCATTTGACCACCCATTATTTCGTATTTATCCATCGATTTTATTCATCAGTAACTTGTTTCTTTTTTTGCAACAGAACAGGCTTTAGTACAAATGCAAAAATTTGTGGTTATTTTAATTTTTCTTCTGTTAAAGTTTAATTTTTTTTTCAGTTTTTCATTAAAAAATGAAAAAAAACTGGAATGGTTAATTAATTTGTCAGAAACTATCAGTCCTATCGGAATAAGATGTATATATGGTTTATGGAGAATGTCATTAGCTTTCATTTGCCGTATTGTTTTTGTCTATTTAATTGGTTAAATTGGTTCGTAAGATGTACGTGATTAAAAGGAAACAATTTTTGCTTTAAGCTGAATAACGGTAAATTGCAAATATCTCGAAAACATATCCATAGAAAAACAAATTAACCCGATTTTCCGAATCACCGAGCAATTCTACATAGAAATTGGATAGCGACGTCTGGGAACAAAAACCAAACTAAAATTTGTGATCCAGTGTAGTTAATGTTTTGATTTTTTTTGCGACAAATGCGTACAGATCTTTCGAGAATTTTTATTCTTATTACAAGAAAATGAATAATTTCATTGTTGAATTGTTGAAATAGTTGAATTAAATTCAAGCACAATAAAATAGTATATTTTAGTTAAGAAATCTAAATTTGTAGTACTATCAAATAGGAAAGAAACTGTTCTCTAATGCAAACACATAATGCTCCTTAATACTGGTTAGTACAATAAAAGATACAATAATAATCCCGGGATTTTCGGGATTTGTAATTTGCACTAATGGCAATAATAGAAACTACTTTTCTTGACCAGTATTGGCTATATTTATTTTTTATTTAATAATTAATATTTTTTTATAAATGTCTAGCTCATTATACATATAACACCGTGTGATAGTAAATTTTACACACAAAAATCAATATATTCGCGAAACCATGGGGCAAATATTGTAAAATTGTGTTTTTAGTTTTTCACTTTGTCGTCAGTAATTCAAAAATGATTTAATCATTTCAGTGAAATGTGCTTAGGGAAGAAGTATGGGTATCAAATTGAAGAAGAAATTCTGTATAATTTAATCAGATTAAATGTTTTGGTGCATAAGGACTGGTAAATATTGAAAATGTCCTTTTAAAATTGTATCCTTGAAGTTTCGCAATATTTGTTTCGAATTTCGCCCTTCTAACTTTATCAGCATAAAACATTACCTATTCGGCCTTGTGAATCCAAAAAAAATTATTTT